AGTTGAAAGAGAATTTTTGAGAAACAATCCTTTTGGTGTACCCCTTTTTAAAAATACACCAATTTCTATCCATTTTAAAAATAACTCTTTTCAAATATGAAAATTTGTATACTTGTATATAGTTTATAAGGTACAACTAGATCAACATTATTATTGGGAGACTCAATAAAAAATATTTATAAAGTTTTAAAAAGGTTCTAAACGGCATTTATAAGACTTTTATAAGGTTTTTATATGTTTTTAAATAATTTTTAAAACGTTTGTAAAAGTTATTTATTTGGTATTCAAATTTACACACATAGAAAGATAATTTGTGTCTAAATATATGAGCTTACACATTTTTTTTAATATAAATATCAATTTTTTTACTTTTTAATTATCAAAATACCCTTTTCTATATCACTTTTAAAAAATACTCCTATTTCAAACTTTATTAAAAAAACCACTTTAAATGTTGAAATTTATCCAAATATGTGTGAAAACTTATAAATATACACACAAATTACCTTTATATATGTTTAAATTTTTATATATTTTTCATAAATACCGTAAAATAACTTATAAATACCTTTTAAAAACCTTATAAACCCTTTTAAAACCACTTAAAAACCTTATAAAACTTGTAAAAACGATTTAAAACCTTTTATAACATTATAAAATATTTGTATCAAATTTCCAAGTAGTATTTATTATATAGAAGTACCTTATAAACCATATAAAACTTTATAATTTTTCATATTTAAACATGGATATTTTTGAAAATGGATAGATAAAGGAGGTGTTTTTGAAATGGGGTGGGTATTTCTCAAAATTTCTCTTTAATTTTTTATAATTATTTTTTAATGTTGTTTAAAAATTCTAGTTGTATCTTAATATTAACAAAATTAGATATAACATGTTGCGACATCTTATATTTTTACTTGACACTTATCATGATCACGTGAGTTAGTAAATTTAAAAACCAAGTTTCGACATATAATATCGTTTAATTGTTAAACTTAAACCATAATTTTAATTTATAAAGATAAATCATAATTCTTATTTATCATTTATATACCCAAACCAACAAATAACCTGAATTAATTGTAAAATTAAAGTTTAAACATTAATCTTCTTCTGTAAACAAAAACCGCCATAATTTCTTGTTAATTATAAATTTTAAATCTCTATCTTATTAATAAACCAAATTGACATAACTGAAATTAGGTTATTTGTTTAATTTTATTAATAATTTTTAATATATAATTCTTTATAATATTTATTTTATATATTTCCTTTTTCGATAGGGTTAATATTATTTTTATTTTATCCAAATATTAACAAAATTAGTTATGCCACGTGTCAACATCTTATCGTTTATAATTGACACGTGTCACGATCTTGTTAATGGCTGACTTTGAAAACCAAGGTTTATATAATAAGATAAGTTATAAACTATACACTATTTTACTGTTGGTTCGGAGTTGCACAATATGTATTCTTTTTCAGACTCACTTTCATCTCTAAGAATTGTTCACCTCAACAACATAATACTCAAAAGAATCGTTCCCTTTGGATCTGGAATAACAAAACTTATCTTCCATGCTTGTTTTTTATTAACTTAAGACTTAATACGAGTACACAATATTAAAAATGATAGTTTAAAATATATTAAAACAAAGCATCATTATATTGGTTTTTATAAGCTTTGAAGAGTGCTTGAGTCGAAACCTAAACCTAATCCTACCGAGTTATGCTTTTGGGAAAAGGAAGTTTAAGAGTGATCTAAACATGTATATTTTCCTATTTGGATTAGGGTTTTATTTATGAGTTCTCTATATAAGGTGATGCAGATCTGTGACATAACTTATGAGTTTGTGAGACGTGAGAAGCTTTAGTTTTTGAGTTAGTTTCCTAAAGCTAAGTAAAGAGTGTAGTTATTTATTAGTCTTGAGTTTCATTATCTTTTAACTAACTAGATTTGGTATCAAAAACATTGTACGATCGTGAAGAAACAATGGGAGATGTTTTCGTCTCAACAACCAAACCTATATTTTCAAGATAGTTTGCTCAATGAGCTTACAATGAGTTTTATAGAGATTACATAGAACAATCTAGAACTTGGTCGATCTTATCCTTGATACAGCTGTAGAGCTTAGTCATCCTCTTTAGCTTGGAGACAGTCAAAACGATTTTGCAGAGGGAGCGTCTCTTTTGCTATTCTAACGTTTTGTTCTGCAGGTTGTACCTTTGTCTTCTTCTGTTGCAGGTGAGTCTTTTCTGCAGCTGGACCATTTGTCTTCTGGGCCAACAATATCTTCTGGGCCTTGGGATGGTCCATCTTCACTTTACCACTAATATTAGAGAAGAAGGAGGACCTTCATTGATCATGTGTTCTATGCTTAACACAACCAATTATACTATATGGGCTGTGAGGATGAAATCACACTCAAAATTCATAAGGTTTGGGAGGTTATCGACATCAAGACAGATCCCATTGATGGTGTAAAATCAGCCAACGAAGAGAAGAAAGAACAACATGGCCATCGCTTCATTGTTTCAATCAATACTGAAACACTTATCTTGCAAGTTGGAGAACTTGATACAAAGAAAAAGGTGTGGGAGCATAGAGAAATAAAGAACCGAGGTTGAAAACTCTAATGTAAGAATTTGATCACCTCAAGATTAAGGACTTTGAGATAATCGATGATTTTGTAGCAAAATTATCAGAAATATCCTCAAAATATGGTGCTTTAGGTATGATCGATCATTGAAGAATCAAAGTTGTTCAAGAAATTTCTTAAGAACCTTCCTCGGAAAAATATATTCACATTGTGGCTTCTCTTGAACAAGTGCTAGATCTTAACACTACAAGTTTCGAAGACATTATTGGGCGTCTTAAAGCATATGAAAAACGTATTTCTGAGGAAGAAGAAAGTCAAGATGATGAAAGCAAGCTATTGTATGCAAAATTGCAAGCATAAGCAAACCAATATTGTGAGTTTAGTTATTCCAGAGGCATAGGACGAGGAGGACATTTTTTATCAAAGAGGAAGAGAGGACGTTGACGTTATAGTAAAGGAAGAGACACATCTAAAGTCACGTGTTATCAATGTTGTAAAACTGGTCATTACTCCTCAAACTGTCTGGATCGGTTACTTCAGCTGCGAGAAATTCAAGAGGTCGACAAATACATATACACAAGAAGCAAATGAACTAATTAATGATGCATGAGGTTGTGTTTTTGAATAAGAAAAAGTTCTTGCTGAGTAAATATGATACAACCACCACCAGCGAGTATGTTTGGTACCTTGATAATGAAGCTAGCAATCACATTACAAGAGATAGAAAATTTCAGCAAAATTGATGATTCTACTACCGTAAAAGTAAAATTTGGTGATGAATCTCGCATATATATAAGGAAAATGGTCAATTTCGTTTATTGACGTGAATGGTGAACCAAGAATGATGGACAATGTGTAGCTTCACCCCAGATTTGAACAGTAACATTATTAGTCTAGAACAAGTCACAGAATCAGGTTGTGACATATGGATGAGAGGAGAATGTTTGACAATGCATGATCATGATGGGAAGCTTATTTTTAAAGCTGAAAGGTCTCCGAATCAATTATACAAAGTTGATCACAAGGCATAGGGAACAGTACGCGTCTGAATCTTACAAAAATAACGAATCAAGTAGAAGGCATACTAGATTGAGACATATAAATCTTGAAACAGTAAAAATCTATGTTTCAAGAGGAGCTTGTATGACGCGTTCCACATGTGCGGTTTGAAAAGGAAATATGCAATTCATGTTTACTTGGGAAACAGACAAGGTAAGTATTCCCACAAGATACCTCGTACCAAGCGGATAAGATACTTGAGCTTATCCATGGTGATCTTTTTGGTCATATAACACCAACCCCAATGGCTGGAAACAAGTATATCTTTATACTTATTCATGATCATTTTCGATACATGTGGTCAACGTTGCATAAAGAAAGGAGTGATGCATTTGAAATTTAAAAAAAAACAAAAAAAAAGGGAAGAGGAGATGGTCTCTCAACCCTTCTGGCAATCTACAAATTAAACTTGTTTGGATAAATCCCCATTTGTTTATGCTCATATCAAATGAAAGAAAATCCTTGATCTCGAGCCAACGTTATAAAATTAAATCAGAGAAATCTTCGCAAAAACCCAATATTTAGTTCCTTTTGAGTAGAAATTCATTTTTACGTACGTACTTGTGGGTGAAAACTATCCATAGTTTTTCTATGGAGAATGCTTCCACAAGACTACATTACCAATGCATCTACCTGAGGCACTAGAACTGTAACAAACCGGTTTTAAAGATATACGGTGGTACATGCAGAGAGATTTAAAATAATTGATTTGACCACCGATGTTAGTAAAGTGCACTTATCTTCTCGGTTAATCATCCCGAGAGACAATCACAGTTAAGAAAACTTGAACATGTGAAAAGACCCAACCCAAAAAAGTAATTTTTAATCATGCAACCAGATTCACCCAATTAATTAAACTAACTAAACCAGCTAAACCGGACAAAATCAATTTAAATCAATAAACCATTTTAATTCATCAAACTTCAATTTAATCAGGTTAACTAGCAATTCCAATTAAACAAAACAATAATCAATAAAACCAGCGGAAGACATTAAATTAACAATCCAGCAAACCAAATGCATTAACCATTTATCCAGCAAACATTCCAGAAATAACGTAACCAATCTATTATGTTTCTAAATTTCAGAACTAGCAATTTCCTAAACAACTATTTAGCCACGTCTTTCTTCATCCCAATTTAATCATAGTACATTTTCAGGTCTCTGTACATCTTGGTCGCTCCTAAATGAATAGAAAACATGGTCGCACAAGCCTCACTCAAGATCTCACGCCTCAAACCCTCATCCTTAGGCACACAAACCCGCCTATGCCCAAGGATAGTCCCGTTGGATGCAACTTGATACTCTGAATTTGTATCTTTAGAAGGATTAACCAACCTTGCCTCCTTCTCCTGAGCCGCCCGAATTTCTGGTCAAAAGATCTGTTCCGTTAGCTGCCTCTAACTCCAGTGGCTCCTGAGAAGTAGCACATAACCGCAGAGTGCTAATCTCTCCAACCAAGGTCTTCATATCCTGCCCTCGAGCCGAAACGGCACGCTTCCTACTCCAATCATCTCCTACCAGAGTAGCCTTACTGGAATGGTAAGCTATCTCCAGAATAATTATAGATATGCCGGCATTGAATCTCCTGCAATCTGCACATCCACACCACTAGCCTACCCCATAACTGCTAGAAACGCGCCTCCTGCGACTCTAACGGCTCCGAATTGAGCACCAGGATCTCCTTGGATATTACCAGCCATTGGGGTAATGAAGCTATTCTTAGCTCCATAATCAAATAACATGTGGGACGAGAAACCGCCAACCAACAGGGTCCCTACACAAACCCTAAGCTAAGAACCCTTAACCCCACAATCACAAAAACGAAATTCTAAAACAACAGAAAAGAACCAGACTGAGTCTTAGAATTAAACATGTGATCGGTCGATCGGTGCTTGGTTCTCCCGTCTCCACAGTCGAGTAGATCCACGGTCCCTTGATCTGCGCCACTTGTGGCGCTCCTAGCTGTGCTATAAGCTGAGCCCACAACTGCACTCTCAGCTGCACCCACTGCTGCACTCCCGGCTGCACCCACTGCTACACCCACGACTGCACCATCGACCCAAGTACACCAAGAGTGTGCTAAACTCTGCGTCGTACTCTCGCATTGAACGCCCACACAGATTCAACGCCAGATATTGTGACTGCATGGGATCCAGTGCCTGCGCCTGGAAATACTTGGCATTGAACTCAGCCAAGAAGTCCCCCCCACATGATCAACCTCTGCTCCCTCTTGGCCAGCACACTCCTCCACCACAAGTGTGCATTACCAGCCAAGTAGTGAGCGGCTAGGTCCCGGTACGCCTCCGGGAACCTCGTAGACTGGAAGTACTGCTCCAATCTCACCCTCCACTTTTCCGCTAAAGCAGGATCGGAGCCCCCAAAGAACATGGACATCCCCTACCTCGGCAGTTGCTCCATCATCCGCAGGTAGTACAGCTACTTGCCAACCGCACATACCTCCTCTGGGTGCCCACTTGGACACCGGGCCCACCTGACTACACACCATGCCCACCTAGCCCAACTGGAGCCTGCACTGGTACCACTCCCGGTAACCGCTCCAAAAGCTGCGTCAGCAGCTCTACAAGACTATCAATGGAGAAAGACTAAGAGGTTCTGATTTTTTTAATCAATGCGGCGGATCTAAAGACACTTCAAGGGTTGTGTCTGTTTCAAGAAAGCTTGGAGGAGATGGTTGTGGTAATGTTGTTGTTATTGAAAGACCAAAGCTTTTAGGGTTTGTTGGGATCTAGACTGGTTTTGATTCTGGTGATCGTAGTGCTTCTTTGAGAAGTACTTGGTTCCCTTTTGATCCTGATGCTCTTCTAAGGTTATCTAAAAACTCTCTTATCTTGTCTAAATCTGAAATGCTTGTTACATCAATTGGTTTCTAAATTTAAGTTAAGTAATTGTAGGAGAAACTGTTTTGTCTCTTGATCTTGTTCTTAGTAACATCTAGTAGTAAGAACTATTAGTAACAAAATGACATCAAAAGGCATGATGGTGTTGGTGTCACCTTCAAAGTCTTGACCTTTTGATGTTATTGTGTTACTTAATTAAAATCAAGTACTAATCCGATTACTTTTGTTGTGATCCTGATGTCATTAAGTGTTTACATTTAGCTGTTATAGCATGATGGAATTTTGTAACCTTTTGATGTCACATATGGTTTACTTTGGAGATATGTTTATTGGTAAATTGTGTTGGACTTATCGAACTTGAGCGGTTTAAGTCAATGTGGAAAATGCAATCAGGTAAGATAGTTTTGATGTTTTGTTAGTTGCTTGGAAAAGTGTATGTTCTCCCGGAATTTAAGGCTCATTAATTATTATCTGTTAAGAAAAAAATCAAGACCATGATAAATTAGTCTTCTTAATTACTATCTTTCAATACCACATTTTTTTGGTTAAAATCATTTGATTCAATTGATGAAATATCAAACTTCATTTTTGAAACTTATGTTATAAATTTGTAATTCCATTTCATGATAAATATATTTTCTTAGATATGCTACACAAATTGCATATCACTTTTTATATATTTTGTTGTAAGAACATAAATAATTAGATCTATAATAATTATTATATTTAAAGATGGATATAATTAATATTAAAATTAATAAAAACATAGGGATTATAAAATTAAAATAAAAAGGAAGTTGGAGTTTAAATAGTAAATCACAAACTCTGTCTAATTAAAGATATTCTTCTAATTTCTCTTACATTTAATGCTATTTTAGAATCTTTAATTATCAATTAAAAATGGAAGTAAATCTAATCATTATTATAATGTTTTTTACAGCAAAATCTAATATTTTTTTAAGAAAAATATAATTATAGAAAGTTAGTTAAATATTTTTTTTTGTCAAAAAAGTTAGTTAAATATTAAAGAGAGAGATATACTGTCACATGTACCTTGGTTTGTTTTACGTCATCATAAATATTTTTTTAATCAACAAAATTTAGTATTATGTAATCATACAATATTATGTATTTAATTTTGTGCTACATGTATTATATTCCAACTTAATTTTGTGCTACATGTATTATATCACCAAGATCAGCGTCCATTTGTATGTAAGAAAAAAACACATTAATGTTATATAAGGTACTAATGAGATCAGTTAATATATGTTAAACAAAATCAAAGACAATAATATCAATTAAATAAGAAATTAATCTATCAAAGATTCTCCTATAACCACATCTTTAATTACCCCAAAATAATCTTCCACCAAACAATTCCTTTATATAAGAGAGAAAAAACCACTCATATCAACAAAAAACAACAATTACATAAAGAATGGGTAGGAAAAAAATAGATCTTAAGAGAATAGAGTGTTCAAAAGAGAGAAGTGACAAATACTCGAAAAGAAAAAACGGGCTTTTAAAGAAGGCACAAGAGATAGAAGTGTTGTGCAACATTGATATTGCCCTAATCATATTTTCTCCGAAGAACAAAGCAAACATATATCATTCTGGGTATAGTACCTCTAACAATTTTATTTTGTAACCATAAGATGACATATATTCTATAAAATTTAAAGTTAAGAGAATAAATTAAACAAAACTATTGTTATCTTTGGTGTTCTTTTCATTATGTTTTCTCTTTTTCTAATAAACTTGAAAATTTGAAACTATACCCATACAAGAAATGTTATTAATCAGTTTATATTTACACGAACTATATAGGAGTCACATGGTAAATCAGCAGTTTTAATAAGATATATGACAAATGATTGATTACATAAGAAAATAGGAATAGTATTTTTTTTCCAAGAACATGCATCATGAAATATGTGTTATCAAAGAATCATTATTTTGTTGATTATGTGTTGAAATTACCGATATTTACTTAAATATATGCTTATTACACATTGTAGTTCCTTTGGAAAAATTCTGGAGAAGTTTTGCAAGATTTCATTACAAGAACGGGAAGAGAGGTTTGATCGTTCTAGATTTTATATTATTTTCTGAACACAATTACATGGTTTAGTCTAGTTTTTTAAAAAAAAAAATTTTTAACTAAAAACTAATATATGTTATCTTTTGTATTTTATGTATGCATACAGGAGAGCATACACAATAAAGGTTTGTTTTACCTATCACTTTTCATTTATCACTTATAATCCAATTTTCACTTGCCAATATATTTCTCACTATTAGTTGGGATATGATTGGATATGAAAGTAAATCATATGATCAGTTCATATATAACTCAAAAATATTACAAAACATTAATTAAACAAAAAAAAATGAGATTTATAATTTTCTGGTATGCCCTTTGTTAAATGAGAATTTTTTAGAGAAACGCCCCTTTTGGAGTACCCTTTTTTAAAAATACCCTTTTTTCTATCCATTTTCAAAATACTCATCAAGATCATCATTACTACTGGGAGACTAAATCTAAATATTTATAAGGTTTTAAAAGTTTCTAAACAGCATTTATAAGGTTTTTATAATGTTTTAAAAGGTTTACAAAGGTTTTATAAGGTTTTAAATAATTTTTAAAAGGTGTTTATACGGTATTCATGAAAAATATATATGTAAATTTACACATATATAAAGATAATTTGTGTCTATAAATATAAGTTTACACATATGTTTTTGATAAATTTCAAATTTTATAGTGACTTTTTGATAAAATTAGAAAGAGAAATATTTTTTAAAAGTGGTATTAAAAAAAGGGTATATTTTATTGAGGTCGCCAAAAAAATTATTTTTATTTACGATAGTATTATTTTATTTAATCTACTTTTATATAGCAAATTTCAAAAAAAATATTATTATTACTGTTACAAACTTATATTATATATAGTGCTGTTGTATATATCATAAATTTTATTAGTCAGTTATTCTGAAAAACTATTAACTCAGTATGTCAATCTAAAGGACGTATACTTGTTTTCATAATTTACTAGTTCATTAATAAAAAATTATCTAAAAATCAGAACATTTAGTTGAAAACAACTGAATTATCATCTGATTTTTTTTGTTTGATTTCTAAAACCTCTAGTTTACTTTTCTCTCTACATGTATAGACGTTGAAGAAAATGTTGAGCATGAACAATACAGAAGATTCCACTGAAAATGTTCACATTTTCCATGAAGGGTACAAATTTTCTTTCGTTCAAATATATTGCAAATATATTGTTTAACATTGTTAATCTAATATTATTGTAGTTATTGCAGAGGTGAAGTGATCCAGGTATGAAATATCTTTCATAATGAATACAATACCTTTTTATATTGAATACAATAAAATAAATAAAAGAATATAATATGAAAATTTTTATATCGAATACAATAATTTTTATTTAGGATGATAACAAGATTACTAAACTGAGAGATCTCAAAGAATTGATTGTTGAGAAAAAGTTAATTTACAGGTAATAACACTAATGAAGATTATATAAAAACATTTCCTCTTTAACTTTTACCTTTATTGTTTTGCTAATTTATTAATGTTATAAGGGACTGGGAATATCCGGAAGAAGTTAATGATTTGAACCGGGTCAACATCATGGAAAATTATTTAATATCTTCTCTAAGCCATATTGGAAATATCCTAAAGGTTTGTATGTTACCATATAATAAATAAGCTTTGATTCTAAAATAAAACATGAATATAGTTAAAATTTTATATAAATTTTATTTCTCGTTTCAGATTAAAACCCAAGAAGAACAGCAAAATCTTATATGATACAAAATGAAAATATTATTTGTAATTAGCACTAGAAAATCATGTTATGTTTAATATTTTCTTCAACTACTTATTTGTAATATGTTATAAACTGTACAGTTTGTACTATATATATATATATATATATATATATATATATATATATATATATATATATATATATAGTACAATGAATTGTTCGGAGTATTGGTTAAGAGTTGCTCAATATGTATTCTTTTTCAGACTCACTCTCATCTCTAAGAATTGCTCACCTCAATGACATAATACTCAACTGATTCACTCCCTTTGGATCAAACTCATCTTCCGTGGTTGTTTTTTATTAACTTAAGACTTAATACAAGATTAAATATGATTAAGTTTAAAAAATATTAAAAACTTGTACACAATATTATAAAATATTAAGTTTAAAAAATATATAAAACAAAGCATCATTATGTTGGTTAAAGCTTGAGGAAAGCTTGAGTCGCAACCTAAATCTAATTCCACCAAGTTATGATTTTGAGAAAAGGAAATTTAGGAGTTATATAAACATGTATATTTTCCTATTTGGATTGGGGTTTTATTTATGAGTTTGTGATACATAACTTATGACAAGGAGATACCAAGATGTGACATAACTTATGAGTTTGTGAGACATTAGAATAGTTAGTTTTTTGAAGCTAAATAAAGAGAGCAGTTATTTATTAATCTTGAGTTGCATTATATTTTAACTAACTAGATTTTGTATAAAGCCATTGTACGATCGTGAAGAAAAAACAATGGGAGATATTTTCGTCTCAACAACAAAACCTAGAGAAGGAGGACCTT